TTATCTTACATTTAAAAATCCTTCATATACTTGTTTGTTTTGTTTTTTAGTGGCTGTGTTTTCACAAGCAGATTCAAGTTTTAGTTTTTATAGTTTAATCACGGATTTGTTTACTATTAACTTTGTCCTTAAGTGTGGGGAAAAGCGCACTATTCCCATTGTCTCAGCATCATGAGTACACTGGTCCTCCACCTGAGCCCCACTCCTGAGCTCAGTTAATGAGGCTACTTTCCATTGCTCCATACCTCCATTTGTTTCACTCCGTACACTATCTGCATCACAAAGGTTTTTCAGCTTTTGGCACACATACCTTCCTGGAAACTGTCCATTGTCTTTATCCACACTATATCCAATGTACACGTTTTGGAGTTGTTAGAAAATCGTTTTCCAAAAACATATCCTTGTTGGACTCCCTAGGGATTAGATTTCTAATATAAATAAATGTCTATTCCCTTACTCTCAGGAAATTTAGGATTGATTTTCCTCTTCATGGTATATAGCCATTCCCAAATCCAATCCTTTAAAACAAAAAGGAACATTATAATAACATCCAATCTATCCTCACATGTCAAGAAGGAAACCCCCATTTCTGTCTCAATAAACTGTACAGATTCTGGAACATCCACTATTTTTGTTATAATTATTCCACAAATAGCTTGATCCAGATTTTACATTTTTAACTAAATTTAAAAAAATTGGGAACTTAAAAGCTGAATCTCTATCTGTCTTAGAAATGTTTTCCAGTTGCACTTCTTACTAACCATGTAGTCCTGGGCAAATTATTTAACTCTATGTATCAGTTTTATCCTCTGTAAAACAAGGATAACCATAATGTTGCCCTTATGATGTGAGCATGAAATTATTACAAATTACATGCAATGCCTGGCATATAGGAAGTGCTCAATAAATATTCCTTGATTCTGTTTCAGTGATCATTACCACAACTGCTTTGACAACTTGTAGTCTCAGATCCTGGCAAAACCAACTGGTTGTGTCGTGGTGATCAACTTTAGATTTTCTGCAGAACTCAAAGTCAACATTCAAATGTTCAATTTCCTTTTCCTTGCTGATCAAAATTTCTATGGATGCAATTGATTCTCCAGCTGATGGCAAGCAAGATTTAAATATCTGAAATCAACTGTTAGCTGCATCATAGGCAAAAAGGGAAATAGCTGCAATAGTACAATCATCTAGCATCACAATTACGTAGAAAGGGAAATAAGTGCTGATTTCATGTGTCATTCCCAAATCAAGGCACTTCATGGAAAATGGCATCATTGTTTCTTATCTGATGCTGAAACCATTCTCACTAGTCTTTTGGATTCAGTACTGGTTTTAATTTTTTGCCTTTGGGTTTCTTGTTAAATATCCAATTTGTCCAAGTACCAATTCAGATTCAATGTAGCTATATGTATCTGAGATCCAATGAAAGAGTTTAAATGGAAAAAGGTTTACTTTGTAAAGAATGCTTTTGGCATTGGCAGGCCTGGGAGAGAGCATCAGTTCTGCAGTAGAATCGTTCTTCCAGACCCTTTTAACTTTCTGCTCCATCTCACTTAGCAGCAAGCTTTCATCGTTACGGTAAGACTGGCAGCTGCATTTCCATACCCCATCTGCATTATGGGCCATGGGTGAAGTATGTGTGTCCTAGATGGAAGGGAGTGGTGGGAGGTGAATATTTGATTCTGCGACATGTAACCCTGAACAAAACTGATTTGTAGCAACACAAAAAGACAAGCTGAATAATAGTTAGATAACTAACAGTAGCCACCTAAAGGGAAGAAGCCCAATCCTATAGTTTAGAACAAATAACATATGTTCGGGTGTATGTGTGTATTCAGCAGGGCTGGCAGAACACCAACTGCGCTAGAGTAGCAGATGCTTTGTTTATCGGGACTGTGACGCTATCCTCTAATTACTGCCCCCGCCTCCAGTCTCATCCCCTGCAAGCCCTTACAACAGAGGTTGGCAAACTTTTTCTGTAAAAGGCAACACAGGAAATATTTTCAGCGTTGTGTCAAATGGTCTCCATTGCAACTTCTCAGTTCTGCCACTGTAATGCCCAAACTACCATAGGCAGTATTTAAACAAATGGGCGGGGCTGTATTCCAGTTAAACTTTATTTACGAAAACAGACAGCAAGCTGAATTTGTCTCCCCTGCCATTGTTGGCTGGTCCTTCCTCTAAAATATTACTAGCTTTTTAATTCTAAAATCAGAATCAATGCAAATATCACCCATTCTGAAGCAAACATGGAAAGTGAGTTCCTCCCTCCACTAACTTTCAGGGCACTTCCTATACATTCATATTAAAATGTACATTCTATGCTCTGATGATGCTTTTTTATCTGTTTTTCTTTAGTGAGTTCTCTCTCTCTCTCTCTCTCAATGGAATCATGCCTAGAAGCACAGTAATACAATTACTTAAAGCCTATTCTGTTTTGTTCTTTTTCTCTACTTTTTTTTTAATGGATGCTTGTTTTAAAAAAAAAATGTGTATTTATTTGAGAGAAAGAGTGAGAGAGAGCACTCTCTCTCAGGGGGAAAGGAGGAGAGGCAGAGGGAGAAGCAGACTCCCCACTGAGCAGGAAGCCTGAGACAGGTTGATCCCAGGACCCTGAGATCATGACCTGAGCTGAAGGCAGACGCTTAACTGGCAAAGCCACCCAGGTGCTCCTTTTTCTCTACTTCTTGCAGATATTATATATTTCTCCTCAACCATACTCATCTCAGTAAAAGAACTTAGGAATACTGTTTCCCATTCCCATTCTCCTCTCAAGTCCTGGATGAAGACTTTGAAATGTTGTGACTTGTTCCTAAGTGCTCAAACTATAGCCTATGCTTCAATAATTCCTTGAAGCTTCATAATTCTTAGATTGTACAGTGTCCTTTAGCATCCTCAAATGTACCCATTTGGACTTAACTGTGTACACACACAAACACATACTTCAGGGTACATTTCCAATATATATATTTTTTCTTTTCCTTGTCATTTTCCTTGATTTCAAAGATTGCTGTTTGGATTCATTTCAACAATTTTCAGTTTCAACATTTTCTCAAATATATTTTTAGATAAGACATGGTGATGATCTACTTTCTGGATCCTTCCCCAGTTATTTTACCTTGACAAATGAATCATATTTTGATGAACAAAGGATTTGGAGCTTGAAATTTTTTTTTCTTTGTATGTTATACATTCAACTGTCAATCAGATTCTAGTATTTCAAGTGATAAATAAGATGTGTGTGTATATATATATATATATATATACACACACATATATATGTATATAAATTAGTGGGCAATTTAAAAATATCTGAAATTTTATAAAAATGTATCTTTTATTTGGGTTTTAGGTATTTTGCCAGGATTTACCTAGGTTTAATTCTTATTCTAACCCTTCCTCAAAAAATCTATTAAACTCATGAATTCACCATATTCTTCACCTCAAGGAAAAAAATATTGTTCATTCCTTCATCTACTCTTTTTTGCTGTCTGGGAACATACATCATTCACACGAGAGGTCTAATGAGCATATCTTTTAAGTCTCATCTTGTACCACAATTCCCACATTTTGGGGATTTTTTGCTCTCTGATTTTACTTACTTCTTCCAGTCTGATACGTTCTCAAGCTCCAGGACAATAATTTGGATCATATCAATGATGGTACATGCCTTAATCATATACTGATATTTTGCTGTTTACTAGTTGCAGAAAACATGGCTCTGAGTTATAGAAATCTCTTTGTAGTATCCCGACAACACTAGGGCTCTTGTTTTCTTCTGCTCAGTAACTTGCTTGGTAATGACTACTCTGCATGTGTTTCTCTTTGGTGCTTTGCCCCTTGGTTATGGTGGTTTCACCTGTACTCCTTGGGGCTCTTATGTAGCCTTACCAATGGCATTCTCATAAATGATGGAGTCACAGAGATCTTCACTTCTGTGAGACAAGAGGGGGCTAGCAAATGGGGTGTCAGTTCCTTGACAGGCTGAGAGAAGGAAGTCTGTTCTAGAGTTTCCACATAAACTCTCACCTGCCAGGCTTAATGGTGTTGAGCCATATAGACTTACATATATAATACTCATATCTAGTAATACATATAAGCTCAAATATATAAAATCTTTACTCAAAAATTGTGTTCTACATCCCAGCTTAGAGTCTTACAGAGATAGTAAAAAATTATCATAGCTGAACTTCATTTTAATGATTTAGAAAATTTATCATAGGAGCTAAAAACAAAATAAAATAGCTATATGACAGAGATCTATAAGTAATGAGAAATCCCCAGATCATCAGAGTGACTAGAGACCTAGATCATAACCCATCAACTGCAGTGTAAGCTCTACATTCAAGAGAACCTGGTGTCAATTTCTTCTTGGCCCTTTTCTAGATATATGAATTTGGGAAAATCACCTAATTACAGTATGCCGGTTTATACATCTTTAAAATGGTATCCAAAATACTTTAAGGATTATTTATGTTTTAAAACAAATAAGGTATGTAAATGCTTATGAGTATCTAAAAGGTTTTATTGAATACTGTAGCTATTACTTACATTTTTAATGTAATTTGCTCATAAACTGCAAGCTTAAAAGACGTGTAGCAAAAGATTTCAGACATTATATTGTCTATTTTTATTTATGTAAATTTTCACCTTGAATATGTTGGTATCTTCGTAGTAAGATACATGAAGAAATTATATGGTGAAAACCTGTGTCAGGTAAGAAATGCTGGTGTTTTCCCATTAATGAAAGGTTTTTTTTTTTCTTGATAAACAAACCATTACCTATACTTATAAGTTCATAAATGAATTTTAATAAATACTATAATATCTAGACCCAATATTCTTTAACATTTTAAGCCACATGTAAATATCAAAATATTTTGAAATTTCTTCAGATTTCTACACACACACACAAACAAAAAACTTGTCTTCAAATGATGACTTTTTGGATTCTCAAATATATATTAACTGCCAAAGTAAAGAATGATTTTTCTTACCCATATCTGACATTTCAGGCACAGTAACAATGTATGGTCCATCTGTGAACTTTGGAGCATTATCATTGATGTCTTGTACTTTGATTATGAACTCGGATTCAGGTTCAAGAGGCTTGTTTGTTCGTCTGTCAATAGCCTGGGCATGAAGCACATAGTGGGTCTTCTGCTCTCTGTCTAGGCTTTTCGTTGAGTGGATGTCACCGGTGGTATCATCAATGATAAATATAGTCCCAGCACCTTCTCCAGTAAGGATATACTTGACAGACCCATCGCCTTTGTCAGAATTGGAGTGAAGCTGGAAAATAAAAATTAAATAATGTAGCTTCCAATTATATTCCAACCTAACATCATGTTACCTTAAAATTGTCTATCTATAATTTTTAACTTACTTTGATTATAACTTTTCTTATCTCCACAGTGTCCTGTCAGTTACTACAATCATTTATTTTTCTGCAGTTTTTCTCTACTTGGTATTGATATGGATATTTTTATCATGATCTAAAAAATACAATTATTGACTTAAGAGAAATAAATAATACTAATTAAAAGAAAAACAATAACACTTGATGTTATTCTACTAATTCACCACTTCACTAACTACAGAAAATAGAATTGGAGAAAGAAATTACCAGTAGATCACTGTTGCCTTCAATACTTTCAGGAATAATGGTTTTTTAAAATTAATTGCTTGGCATTCTATTTCAAACTTAAAATTTAAAAAGGAAAAATATATATGGCAGGAGAAAATTCAAATTATTAAAAATTTCCACAAAAGAGGCACTTATTTGTTACAAAGGTATTAATTTTATAATTTGAAAAATTAAAAAAAAGAATTTTCCTGATTAATTGTTCAGATTTAGAACATTAAGGGCATTAAATAGATTAAAATAGAATATTTTCTTTTTTTAAGTTTATTTGTTTGTTTATTTTTAGTCATCTCTCTGCCCAACATGGGGCTTGAACTCATGACCCCGAGATCAAGAGTCACATGTTCTACTGACTGAGCCAGCCAGGCATCCCCCCTTTTTTTTTAATTATGAAACTTTAACTCAAAATTTAAATAGTAGTAAATCAAAATTGATTGATTTAATCAATACATGGGCCTATTTTTTAATTAATTGAAATACACTAACAAATTCTCATTCATTAAAATAAAAATAATGGACTATCATTTTAAAAATATTACAGAGTAATATTTCAGTAGAGGAGAAGTATTTAGTAAGAAAGATAAATACATATTAAGATAATTATAAACCACTTTTTCATCATTTAAACATCAGAAAATGCTTTTATTTTTAAATTTTTATTTATTTATTTAGATTTTATTTATTTATCTTAGAGAGAGAGCATGGGGGGAGGGGCATAGGGAGACGGAGAGAGGGAATCTCAAGCAGACTCTGCACTGAGTGTGGAGCCCAACACGGAGCTCAATCTCATAACCCTGAGATCATGATCTGAGCTGAAATTAAGAGTTGAATGCTTAACCGACTGAGCCATCCAGGTACCCCAAGACATGCTTTTAAACTGCATATAATTCATACTTCATAATTTATTATAACTTATACCATCTTAATTAAATATTTCCATAAGAGCCACTGCTATATTTCTAGCGAGAAACAACCACACAATATTTACTTAAATCTTAAACATATATTTGAAGAATTGTTTCTCCCAAGAGATTTGAACAGTTATCCTTCATATGAAACTCTTTTGGTTACTTAACCTTAACTACTCACCTTTTGCTCATTTCTGACACTAGGAAACATTGAAAAATATAACCTTGTTCATACAGCTTTTGGGTTTCTTGCCATAATAAAGAGAAAATTTTCAAGGATTATATTAAAGTCTCTGAACTCTTAGAAGACATTTTTTAAAAAGATAAAATATAGAAAAATATAATATACTGTGACAAAAAGACTATGGTAAAATCGAGGCAACTGAAATGTAAATTATAGTATCTCAAAAATAATCCTATCTCTTGGGCGCCTGGGTGGCTCAGATGGTTAAGCGTCTGCCTTTGGCTCAGGTCATGATCCCAGGGTCCTGGGATCGAGTCCCGCATCGGGCTCCCTGCTCCTTGGGAGCCTGCTTCTCCCTCTGCTTCTCTCTCTCTCTCTCCCCCTCTCTCTCTCCCTCTGTCTCTCATGAATAAATAAATAAAATCTTAAAAAAAAATAATCCTATCTCTTTCTTGAAAATGCATAAGACATAAACAGGGACAAATTCTGATGGGAATCACTTAGCAAGATTCAACAAATTATATCTTTCCAAAATTACTTTTTTTTGAGCTTTTATAAAGAGGCGTAAGAAATCCATTAGCAAAATATGAAAAACATAGCTTTCAAAGATTTCACACTTCATTAGTAAATTAACCACTGAATAAAGAATGCAGAATGAGTTGTGTGGAGATAGTTGTATGCATGGATGGAAATGCAATAGTCATTTCTTTATGTTTCTCAACATATCTTTTTGGCACCTAGAAAAAGGATTTATCATTTATGAAGCAGACACCTGTAAAATATCAAAAGAGCAGCCTGTTTCGCATTTTGCAACTTTGGTTTAATCCCTAACCAAATCATAGCAAAGTAAAACAACAAATTCATTAAACAAATGTTTTTAAAAACACTTTCTCAAACACTCTTGTTATTAAATAAAATGTGAGACGGGTGCTCGCTTTGGCAGCACATATTCTAAAATTGGAATGATACAGAGAAGATGATCATGGCCCCTGCTCAAGGATGACACACCAATTCGTGAAGCATTCCATATTTTTCAAACAGGGTTTTAGGGGGGGGGGGATTGGTTAGCCTGGTGATGGGTATTAAGGAGGGCACGTACTGCGTGGAGCACTGGGTGTTATACGAAAACAATGGATCGTGGATCACCACATCAAAAACTAATGATATATTGTATGGTGACTAATATAACATAATAAAATTAAAAAAATACCCAAATTTGAAATATAATAGGTAAAAAAAATGTAAGAAAGTTTTATTAGCTATTGTTATACTATATATAAATTATAAATCTATATAACTAATTTAAAACCCTTTTGTGGGAAATATGTTACATTTCTAACTACTACTTTCAGAAAGACATAGCAATGGTGACAATTGAATTTTATTTTCAGGATATATTTTCATATTCTTCTATGTTCTCAGTGAGGTTATTTTGATGTTCCTTTATTTTGGATTGAAGGTTTGTTTTACAAAAAGTTAATCATATTTAAAGATTGGGCTTATATATATAGACCAGCAATGGAAGTATGTAAGAGAAATAGGAAAGTTGTCAATCTAAAGCATGTTTTAAAAACATAACACACTCTATGCTTTATATAGATTGTTAAGCATTTCAGATAAAAGACAAATATGTGAGGAATTTTATGGCTTTAGATTTTAAGACTTGAATCTCATTCCACATTCATAAAGTGTTTATAATTAGTAAACAACTAAGCCTAAATATTCCCAAAGTTATGTCTAATTTGAAAATAGATGTGCAATAAAATCAGTGAGTTATAATTTAGCAGTATTTATATTATTGGACAACATAGTAAAAATTATATTAAAATGTTATAAATATGTATTTGAATTATATAAGGTGTTAATAATGCTTAGCATGAGTGTTTAAATAATGTAGATAATCATTTCATTAATGGATTTTGTGAATCTCTCAGCAGGCCTAGTTGAATCTTGGAATGATTAGCTTTTATGTTAACGCAGATGGGAAACTATTACAATGGCATTTAGCTTATATGATTAGGATGATAACCATTTGTGAAAGAATAAAGTGATCCACTCTCAGGATTACCTCTTGTCTACAATATACCCATTTCCAAATGTTCAGTTCAGTTTGGAATACACATCTGCAACAGAAGTGGCTCTTGAGAGAACCACCAGCTATATTTTTTTCTTTTGCTTAATCAGTGAGTTTTAAGATCCTGAAAGAGCACATGTTGTATTTTAGGTTTTTTTAAGGCAAGAAACAGTGAATGAGTGAATGAATGAGAGAATGAATGAATAAATGAAATGCGTGAGCAGTAATCATATTAGTAGAGGTAAAAATCTTAAGATACAGAGAGAAAGCTCTTTGATACAGATAAATCATGTAAAACAGAAAACCAGGATAGAAATGTGTTATCTCTGAGTATGGGGAGCAATAAGACATCAAACAAAAGAACTGGGAGTAGAGTACATCCAGTAGAAATACTGTGGATGTAGACATGATGCTGATTTAGCAACAGCAAAATATGATGTTGTAAGTTAAGCTAGCTATTATATTAAGAGAGATTTCATTGTATCTTACATTGACATACATAAAAATATTTGGGAGACTAAGTTGACTTTAGTCATATATACTGAACTCTTTGTAGCAGAAAGTTTAGAAATACGAAATACCACTGAGAGAACAGTGTCAAGGTCTTATCACAACACACGGTGGTGGGAATATACTTTTAGAGTCATGAGATTTTGCAAAGTAAGTTATATTTTGTGCCAAAGGACAGATGTTATATTGTCCTAAAGCAAGAAGAAAGAATGCTGTGTATGTTATCACATAATAATGTAGGGTTAATTAACTGTTCTTTAGAGAACAGAAAAGGGGAGGAGAATGAAGAAAGAAAATATAACCACCCAAGGAAAGCAAAATGACCACTTCTCTGGCATTACTTTAATAAATTGTCTCTTTCTAAGTGTTAAGTAGTAACCTATGGCACTTAGGAAGCTCGTGCGATTCACATGAGTTCCCCCTAGAAAACTATTTATTCACCCCGGATCACATTAGGATCAGGACCTAAAAATTTATAGCTTTCACTCCAAGGCAGAGTTCCTCACTAAGATAATATTCTACCCCTTGGGGAAGAATAACTTTGAAAGGTTAAGAAGATTGTGGCAGAGCAATTAATTTCAAAAGTTGCTTTTAGTCAGAACTTTGAGTTATGTTAAAAAGATAGGTCACTGACTTAAAATTATAATATTTTAAACTACATGTTTTATGTATTTTTATGACAAGGAAACATATTTACAGTATTCCAGTGGAATCCAGGAATAAAGTCAGAAATATTATATAGTAATTCCACTACTATTATTTTCCCAATACATAAAATACAAGTGATGCAATGTGAAGATCATAGGAAATACATTATTAAAATTTATTATACATCCTTCATTCCAGAATGTGTTATATTTTTTCCAGAATGTGTTATATTTTAAACTATAAGCAGATGAAACAAAATTCAATTGAACTATTAATAACTAATGGATGTAAAGAAGAAAAAAATATGAAATCATAATAGTCTCT